CCCCAAAACCCCAAAACCCCAAAACCCCAAAACCCCAAAATTATTTTAGAAGATTGATTCTAATTTATTATAAAAGTGACATGTTTTAACTCACTCTTCAAAATTGCTTGCCTAGCAAAATCCCTTTCAACCTGGGCTTCATGAACAAAAACTTTCTTTAAAGAGTTTTTCAAATCAGACTTAGAGAGGCTCTCTATGAATTTGGAGCAATTATCAGGTTTATTCACCCAGTCACTGAACATTTTTCCCCCACAACTAAAGATGTGAAGATCTTCAATAGCAGTTCCTTTTAAGCATGTATCTAAATCAATGACTTTTGTGAAGTTAAGTTTACAGAAACTCAGATTGACTCTTAAGATGTGTTTGACAAGCATGAAGAGTTTCCTCATCTGAGACTCATCAATTATTAGCGTAGCCAATCCAATTTGTTGTATAACTTTATAACTGACCCGAGACAATCTTAGGAGCAATTTGCTTGCATCTGTTAGTCAATATAATGAGATTCTAAAATTTAGAATTTTGATCGGAAATCATTTTTTGAAAAATGCATCTTTGTTCTTTCTATCAAATTTTATATTGAATAAATCGACTCTGTCCAGAGAAGGTAGAGTCAAGGACTTCATCTTCTTAACAAAACCAAAGTGGGTATGCTTTAAAAGGTTGAGATTAATATAGCTACTTGAGCCATAGAGATTTAAATGACTCAAGAAGGCTTTATTAGCATAATGCCAAGTCTTCAAATTAAGCAGTGCTCACTCCCTTTGATGCTGAGTTGAAGAGACCTGCTCTAATTTCAGACTTTCTTGATCATCTTTGATTCGGCCTATACAAATTTTAAAGAGTTCTCGCATTTTATGAGATAGTAAAGTAACACAATGATACTGCACTATTGGTTTATACTATTATCAGGGTCTAAAATGAGTTCATTAGTTTTATCTTTCTCCTAATTTATTCAACCAAAATAACTATCTCATAAGGTAAATGAGTATGAGGGAGAGCCAGTACCTGCATCTCTGGATAATTTACTGCTTTCATCAGTTTTATGTTCTTCATTAAGATGTTTAGTGTCAGCTTGAGACTCACAAACATGCTGGATCTCGGAATTCTGCATATCCTTCGATTCCATTTAATTAAATAATTATATTTTCTAACCTCCAACTTTAAGCTGGCTGGCAGGGGTTTTGGGGTTTTGGGGTTTTGGGGTTTTGGGGTTTTGGGGTTTTGGGGTTTTGGGG